AATGCCGAAGGATGTCCTGTCCCCCTCTCAATTGTTCTCCGGACTCCCTTCCTGTGCATATCGCGGGCCAGTGCTGTAAAGTCTGCCGACGTAAGTGCTGACTGATGATGGCACAGTGGTCCTCTGTGCTTAGAGATTTGCTTATTTCCCTCATTTTTCAACAACCTGATTAATTGGCATTGATGAAATAAAGCACTGGCAATTAATGTAGTGTTAAATGTGATAAGAGCCACAGTGGCTGGCAGGTGGCATGGTGGTTTGGGCACTGGACTCCCACATGGCCAACCGAAGTTTGAGTCCTGGACCTGGAGGCTTGAAAATCATGCTGGGTGTGTGTGTGTATGCATGCCCAAAATCCGGAGAGGAGAAGGGAATACAGCATGCCTGTTTCCCCTCTCTCTCTGGTGAACACATATGCCCTGTGCAAAAACCTAAAAATAAAAATGGGCCACAATGTTTTAATCATCTGTGATGTGGCAGATACTTAACAGGCTGTTTTTTTCTTTTTTTCTATTTTTTTTTTTTTTTTTTTAATCTTCACATCAACCCTTTTTGTTCCTCTTATTCTGTGTGGAAATTACTTTCTCAGGGACTTTGTTACTCTTTCAGGGTTAAACAATCCCAGGTATGGATTTTATCTGTAAACTCACAACTCCAAAACTCCATCTGCTTTGGTCCCCTCATTTTGAACAACCAGTTTTAGGGTCAAATTCTGTGTTGTGGTTTTCTGAAGTTTGGACCAGAGTATCAATTAAGGGATAAGGGAACTTTACTAGGAATTTGAGGATGAAATTCAGTTAGAATACTAAAACAACTTTTTTGAAATGTTGGCTTCTCTATGTTATATAATGAATTCTAAAAATGTTAAGAATTGACAAATTCTTTTTTATTGTTATTGCAAAGGGCAGGCACTATTTTAACTAAAGTAGTGAAATAAACATTGAGCTGTAAACAGCAAGAGATATCATTTCAAATGTTCGGTATATACGGTATACTGTACTGAGCACTTTAAATCTATTAGCTTACTGAATGATCATAAGCCTTTACATAGGTATTGTTATTAGCTCTGTTTTTTTTTTTTGTTTTGTTTTGTTTTTTGAGAGGTTTTCGCTACAGGGCGCGTGCGCTCGCCAGACAGACAAAGAGAGACACAGAGAGCCAGAAAGTGAGAAATCACCCCCCCAGGGGGCATGGTCACGCCGCAGTCCCGTCTCCTCCATTCTCCTCTTGGGATCTTGGGCATGCACGCACATGCACCCAGCGTGAGTTTTAAGCCACCGGGTCCGGGACGCGAACTGTGGTTGACTACGTGGGAATCCAGCGACATAGCCATTACGCTAACTGCTGGTTCTCGTTATTAGCTCTGTTTTACAGTTTAGATGTAGAGAAGTTACTTACCAGGGTCACAAGACTGGTGAGTGGCAGATATAAAACTAGTTCTGAGGACTAAAGAGCCTGTAGTCTTCACATCAAACCGTATGCTCTTCTACAGGAAAGGAGAGTTCTGGTTAGAAATATAGCACCGTCTGAATAATCTTCAAGATCATTTCTTTCTTTCTTTTTTTTTTAAAGAGAGGTTTTTGTTTTAGGGTGCATGTACTCACTGGAGAGATAGCGAGAAATTAACCCCATGGGGGATGGCCATGCCATAATCCCTTTTCCTCTACTCTCTTCTTGGGATTTTGGGCATACATGCACATGCACCTAGCATGCGTTTAAACTGCCAGTGGGGGGAGGGTGCGGAGTTAAGGGGGAGACTCGAACTGTGGTCAACTATGCGGGAGTCCAGTGACGGAACCATTATGCCATCTACTGGTCCCTCAAAATAATTTCTCTCCCGAAAGAAACATGCCAGTGTCAGTAGGCCTTCAAAATACAGTGCCTTTTTGTATTGATTTATTGATTGATTGATTGCAAGAGCAACATGTCACTTAACATGACAGTAGAAGTGAGGATGGCTAGTCTGGTGACATCAGTCCCAGTATTGGTTGAACTCTTCCAATATTCCAAAGAACTTTGGAATATTCTTTCTTCCCCTGGTTGGCACAGTACACCCATTACTCTGGAAGGTATGTTGGAGTTGGTCTAAAGTGAGGAATTTTCTTCTTTTCTAGGAAGTACTATCTGACAACATAGATAATTCAAATGCCTGGATTTGGAATTACAGTCTAATCCCATTATGGAAAGTTAGTTTATTATGCAGATCATTGTTTTCCCCCAATCTTTATATTCTGTATAGCAGTCAGCAGAGGAAAGAAGTAAAAAACTATTAGGGATTTGTTTAAAAATATGAGATTGTCTAGTTCATTATTTTGAGTTCCCTGGACTGATCTGTAGATCTCTCGCTTGGAAATTCTAGTTCGGATATAGGGACAATGAATTCTTTCTTCAGCTGTTTTGTGTTTTAACTTTTTAATTTTTTTTAAATTATGAAAGCCCTGTGCTTATTGAATAACATTCAAAAACACAAATGAAAAGAAATACAGAAAATCATTCATAATACCACCATTTGGAAACAATCACTCTTGAAATTTTAGTGTATTTCATTTGTCTTTTTAAAATGTATTTTGTGTGTAGTTGAGGTCATACTGTGCAGACCGTATTATTTTACTTTACTTACCATTATCACTTAAATGTGAGTGTTTTATTTATTTTTTATAATTTTTGTTATAGGATACATGTGCTCACTGGAGGGACAGAGAGAGAGAAGATGAGAAAGCAGCCCCCAGGGAAAGGGACAGTCACATTGCAATCGCTTTTACATTCTCCTCTCAGGATTTTGGGTATGTATACAGACATGCTCCTGGTATGTTGGTATGTTTCCCAGCTACCAGGACTAGGACTTGAACTGCACAGTTAGCCATGTGAGTTAGAGCCTCCTTAACCACCATGCCACCAGATGCTCACGTTGCTATGTTTTTAAAAGCTCTGTAAAGCTTGATTTAATGAACTTCATAGTTTCCCATTGTTGGGCTGTTGCCAAAGTTTTTAAAAAGCATTCCCAATTGTTGAATATTTAGGTTTCCCACCCCCACCGTTATACATCTTCAATAACACATTTCATATGCTTTTTATATTTTTTTAAAATAGAATTCTCAAAATGACAAAAAAAAGAATTCTCTTGAGTAGAATTATTGGGCCAAAACCTGCCATTTTTTAGACCCTTTTTTTAGATCCATTAAACTGTCTTCACTACATGTGTGTTGGGGTAGTCATTTTTCTTTATTTTAATTTGTTTGAGAGTTTTAGGTTTTACAAAAATATTCTGGGGCCAGCCTATGGCCTGATAGTTAAGGTGTCTTTTCACATGTGTAACCACATGATTTGAGTTCCTGACTCAGCAGCTTGAAAAACACACTGGCTGTGTGTGTGTGTGTAAGCATGTTCATGTAGCCAAAATCCCAAAAGGAGGACACCTAGCAGCTTAAAATACACACTGTCTGTGTGTGTATGTAAGTGTGCACATGCACCCAAAATCCCAAAAGGAGGAGATGGTATTGCAGCGTGACCATACCCTGTGAGGGGATCATCCCAGCTGCACTTCTTCATCTGTAAAATGAGGATAATAATGGTTTCCATGCCAAATGCATGTGTGTGCATGCCAAAACCCTGATGGAATGGAAAAATGGAAGAAAAGCAATTGCAGCGTAACCGCACTTCAGTGGGGAGTACTCTCTCCCTCTCTCTCTCCCTCTCTCTCTGTTTAATGATATGATATTATCCCCATTTCACAGATGAGGAAGTGAAGCACAGACTAGGAGAAGTAACTTGTCAGGACTAGCAGTTGGCATAATGGCCATGTTGCTGGATTCCCATGTAGTCGACTGTGGTTCGAGTTCCGGACCCTGTGGCTTAAACTCACGCCAGGCATGTGTGCGTGCGTGTTCAAGATCTCAGGAGGAGAGTGGAGGAGAAGGGATTGTGGCATGGCTATCCCCCTTCGGGGGGGGGCAATTTCTCACTTTCTGTCTCTCTTTCTCTGTCTTTCTTGTGAGTGCACGTGCTCTATAGCAAAAACTTCTGGGGAAAAAAAAAAAGAGTGAGAGAGAGAGAAGTAACTGGTCCAAAATCTCTTGGCCTTGGTGGAGCCAAAACAAAGTCAAGGCAGTCTGGCTCCAAAGCTCATGCTCTACCCCTGTTCTCTACAGAGACACAAACATCATGCCTACTACAATAAAAATTACTTAAGGGACCAGCAGTTGGCATAATGACTATGTCGCTGGACTCCCATGTAGCTGACTGTGGTTCGAGTCCTGGACCCAGTGACTTAAACTCATGCTAGACATGTGTGTATGCGTGCCCAAGATCCCAAGAGAAGAATGGAGGAGAAAGGATTGCGGCGTGGCCATCCTTCCCTGGGGAGTGATTTCTCACTTTCTGTCTCCCTGTCTCTCTCTGTCTTTCTGGGAACGCACGCGCCCTACAGCCAAAACCTCTCCAAAAAGAAAACAAAAAAAGATTACTTAACACAAAGACTATGTAAGGACAGGAGTCATGCAGAGAAGCTATGCCTTAACTTCATCAGAAATGTGTATGTGTGTGTTAGGAACATTTCACTGGTAGCAACTGAGCAGAATATTGACAAATGAGTAGGACTTTGCCAGGTTTGCAAGCTAGGTAAGAGCCTACCTGCCAGCAGGAGTTGCATGTATAAAATCATGGAAATGAACACAGCATTGGCTTTGGGGTCAAAAGCAAAGTCTTAAAACAAGGTCATGATATAATCAAGAAGTAGTTTCTAGAAAGGCCGCTGAGAGGAAAGGAATCAAGGAGAAAAATAGAGAGGCAACACATTTAAGGGACACAGAATGGGAGGGTTGTCTGTTGATAACATACATCTTAACTTCAACTGGACTGGTTTGAAATATATTCATGAATTACCCAACAAATATATTCATGTTGGGTAATTCACTTTACAAGCTGTAGTGATGTACAGTGAGTGAAGGTATAAAATGAAATAATTAAAGGGAAAAAAAGGCTACTGCATTAAGAAATCTGGAGGAGGGGGTCTGAGGATAGGACTTGGGCATCTTTTAGGTGGAGGCGATGAGGCTGGCAGACAGGCACTGCCCAGGGAGATGCAGAGGATT